CCAGAAAGAATAATTTCAGAGGGAGTTTAGTCCCCTTACTATCTTTCAACCAAGTATGTTTTTCAACAATAATTACGCCTGCACTTACTTTTTGGATAGCTGCAAATGATGGACTCTGGCTTTAAGGGAGATAACGTAAAAGGCCTGGGCTCAATTTTGAGTCGGATTATTTGCAGGTATCCTTGTACCAACAACAAAGCCTCAAACGTTTCGTTTACAAATTTGCCTCATCAACGGTTCTGCTTTGAAACACTAAACATCACGTCATGGCATTAAACTTTTACACACTTAAAAAAATTATAAGCGTTTAAAAGTTAATCACGATATAATGTTTCTAAACATAACCGGTCACGAGGCGGGCAATGTAAACGGAATGTTTATAATTTGTTTTTCTGAAAGTTATCAATTAAGTTTTTTTTTTTCTCAAGCCAAAAAAAAAAAATCATATTAGGAGCATACATTTTTGCATTTTATAGATGCGTACCCGTGTTAATTTGGTATTTTGACCTCGAAAAATAGATTTGTTGTGTTCAAATTGCTATTTTCCTAGCAATATAAAAGTTATTCAATTTTGAGTGAAACATCGAACGAAAAAAAATCCACAGTCCTTTAGTTATTGATTTATATCTTTCAAAATTTTTGGCTGCCAGGCAATCATTAGACTCTCGCAGGACGGGTTCTTGTGTGCGCAAAATGAAAGCCCCTTTTCAGAGGGTTGCAGATGCCCCAAGTTAAAATAAAGTAGTTATTCCGTTGAAACGAATCAAACCAATTTAAAGTTCGTTACGAGAAAATAAGTACAGTTTTTGAAGAGCACAGGGTTTGCAACTTCTAACAGCTATTTATTGTTGGTCATTTACACGTAACCAAAAAAGAAAGTCCCCCCCCCTCATTACTTTTGTTGTCTAACTCAAAAACTCCTGGGCACATCTTGCATGCTCAAACTACAACAGATCAGTACGAAAATTCCTTAGCAACCCAGCCATACTCTTTGTTGGCCCAAAACAGTGATAATATGTACACAATTATGCAATTTATGACAAATAGTACAGAAAAAAGTTGCACTTTTGTATGCGTGCAAGGTGAGGGTGAACCACAACTTGCACGTATACAAAATGTGCAACTGTTTTTGGTATTATTTGTCATAAATTGCATAAATTCGTACACATTATCACTGTTTTGGGCCAAATAGAGAGTATGGCCTGATTGTTAAGGAATGTCTGTACTGATTAGTCGTTATATCAGCGAGAGGTATTCAGTAGTGTTTGAGTTAGACATTCCTTAACAATCCGGCCATACTCTCTATTTGGCCCAAAACAGTGGTTAGCAACCCCCCCCCCCCCCCCCCACCTTGGAGAGTTGAGTATTTTTTTAAATAATTTTGGGAAGTGCTTGTATTTATCACCGAGGTCTGCAGTCTATTTACTGGTCTGCAACCGTTTTTACTCCAACTTTTCTTCTCCAAATAGCGCCTTCTTTACGCTAGCCTTGGTTGGAGTCAAATGCGGCCCGCAACGAGGGAAGGTCAATAGGTTAAGAAGACACGACAAAACTCAGCCCATTTCTACATTTTATTTACATGGGAATGTTTATTCAACCTTTGTCAGTTTCTGTAAACTCTTAGACAATAATGACACACTATGAAAGGCACTGCAATACGCACACACAACACATTATAAATAGGAAATGTTTAAAAAGGAAAAAAGTATAGAAATACTAAATAAATGTTCTATGAATAGTTTCACAAATAGTTCCATTCATTCATCAGCCTTTGGTCTGTTAAGATATCTATTGTCATGTTTATGATATAAATAAACCGATATTGCACACTATCCGAATAAAACACACACACAAACTAACCAATGGTAGTAACTCTATTACTTGATCGCAATGAGTGAATCAGTGCCATTTAAGCGTCAGAACATTAAAAACCTTTTACGACCATTTTCAAACGTTTATCATTCGAAATCACCGTTTCTAATATTCAAATACGTCCATCAACATCGATTAAGTGCACTTCCAATGTTTAATTTAGTCCTTTGTCGGACAATTTCAAATTCAGTTCAAGCAAATTCAAACAATGAGCACACGTTTTCGTACCGGAGTATTCCATTTCGTCTCATCTATGCGAAACCTTGTTATTCAGAAATCAAATTCGTATAAGTGATTCATATAAGACGAATTCGATCTCTGAATGCTGCCATTCGGTAACAGTTTAGACGAATTTGATCTGTAATGACAAGTATTCTCGACCCGGCGACTAAAGAGGACGACCAAACTTTAAAATTGAATGGTAAATCACTAAATTGGTTTTTCTTAAAAGCGTGTGAAATTTTTCGTGGACGAAATTGAATGAAAGAGTTGGTGAATTTGAATGAACAATCTTTTAAAATAGCCGGGTAAAACCTATATTATATGATGGATGGCATAAAATGAGCTGTGGCAATCTATAGAGACCGTTGAATCAATGCGAGATAAAAAAAAAAAAATAGTTATCATTGTACTCCAATCACTGAAGCACACATTCCCCAGATGGAATATTTTGGAGGACCACCAACCAAGTACCACACATGACAAGATGCTATGTGACATCTTAACCCAATAAGACATTTCTTTGCTCATTGTGTTAAATTTGCATCAACTGCCACAGGCTCACCTCCTAATTAAAACCCTCCTATTGTTTGATCAGTCACAGACAGTCAAAAAGTCCTTCCACTTCCCCTGCCATGCATTTGTATACAGGCTAGTAAAAAAAACACGTCGATCACATTCATGTAAACACTGTGACAGTCACATTCCATCAACAGACGAACGAGGTAACTGGTAGGTACAGCTGGCATATCAATCACCTCCAGTCAAAGCCTGGCTATTTTAAATTAACTAGGGAATTCCTAACCATTAAAAACAGTCACTTGATTGATTTTGACTACTACGATGGCCTAGCTGAATTTGTCAGCCAGAGAGGGAGGATTTACTTTACACCATTAACACTCTACATTGACGATGATTACTAAATTGAATATTAAATTGAATAGTAGTAAATTGAATATTGTTATATTACACAGATTTGTATAAAGCTGCTTACAGGCAAAGTCGGTAAATTGAAGGGAAAAAAGGCATTTGTGTCATCCAATTCTTGCCAGGTAATATTTACTTTCTGTGCTTTCCAAGCCATGCGATCAAAGTTTGTACTTTTTTGGGAAAGTTTCACATCAGAGGAACATCATTAAACTAAAAGTGTGTAGCACATATTTATGTACAATTGAGAGAAAATACTTTAAAATGGGAAAGTCATTTTTGGGAAGGTTTCACATCAAATAGGGCACTCCCGTATATCAACTTAATACAGGGTGTATCAAAAAAAAGAGGAACCCCCAAATGTAAATGTAAATTATTAAAAAAAATCTAATAAATATTTTCAAATAAATTTAAGATCATATGAAACGCCAACGGTCCTCTTTCCAATGGTAACCTTGATTGTGTGTCTGTGGCCACGAATGACTGAGCATTCGTTGTTATCCTGTCGGCCAAAACCTGCACTGGGTCAAATTTGTGCAAAAGGGTAGCTGGTATTCTGGGCATGTTGAACGGCTCAATTCAAAGAAAGATATCCTATTCTTTAACACAATTCATTCAATTTTGACACGGTGATTTAACCACTCTCATTGTTGAAGTTCACCCCTCATGGCCCAATGCCTTCAACGTGGCCACGGGCCGCCTCTTTCCACACAACAAACCAGCCAGCAATCTTAGCCAGGTAAAACTTGGCCCAGTACAGGTTTTGACCCACTGACTGAATAACAACGAATACTCAGTCAACCATGGCCACAGACACACAATCACGGATACTTTGGCGCTTCACATGCCATGGTATATTAACAAATGTGATGACTTGTTTAGAAAAATAAACTGTATTAATTATCTACAAGTATCATTAAACAAAAACAATGTGTAAGTACGCTGTAGTTTAAGGTTTTCTCAAAAAATTGTGAACTCTCCGGCCCCCCCCCTTCTTTTTTGGCATTTTCATGGGTCTTCTTCTCATTTGTCCATAGTAAAAGAAAGCCTCAAGAAATAAAAGAAACGAAATAAGAAACACTGCTTTGTGTCACATTTATGTAAACAAGCCTCTTATATATCTAGATTTAGAGGTAACATTCATGCCAGAAACGGCCACAATTTTGGACAAGGTCAAATCAAATCACAAATAGTTTAGCACAGAATGACCTCATTTATGTCCCTACTCATCTCAAGCTAAAACAAACTTCAGTGTATAGGGTGAGTAAAAACAATAAATAAAAATTTAAAAAAAATGAAACCAAAATGTCGAGACCATTGTCTTGGTGAAGTTCTGCATTCAGTGCCTTCTAAATCTAGGATATGAAAAGCCAGTTCATAAGCACTCTTTTAGTACAAGAATCATCCAAATCACTGGTGTAATTTCAAGTTACGGAAATTTAAACACAACCACCGTTTTAAAGTTCTGTCCACTGATCACAAAAAACGTAAGGGTTCTTTCAGCAAAATGAAAACGAGTCACAAGTGAATTGTTTTCGTTTTGCTGAAAGAATGCACACCTTTTTTGTGATCCGTGGACAGAACTTTAAAACAGTAGTGTGTGTTTAAAATTCCATGACTTGAAAAGTGCATCGTATGTTGAAAAGCACACGAATGATTTGACTAAAAGAAAGCTTATGAATTTGGCTTTCATATACTAGATTTTGAAAATGCTACATGCAGAACTTCACTGAAACAATAGTCCCAACATTTGGGTATCGTTTTTTTGACTCGCCTTGTATGTGCCACGATAAACATGTGATTCAGCCTGTGATTCTTTGACATCACAGTGTTACTTTTCCCATACCATGGAGTATTTACCGAAAATCAACCCCACCCAGCCCCCTTCCCCTCTCGACAAATACTCCACATAATTCACACTGAAAGTGACTGGTCAGAGAATTTTGTGTAGATTTCAGCAATGACAAGTAGGTTTTGTATTACACGTTCCCCCCCCCCCCCCGTGAGGTTTGCCATTTACACCACTCAATACCCTAAAAATCCCCGCCCATATCACCACCGAAGTCACCGCCCATGTCCCCTCCAAAGTCCCCACCCATGTCCCCACCAAAATCCCCACCCATGTCCCCACCATAATCCCCACCCATGTCCCCTGCATAATCTCCACCATAATCCCCGCCATGGTCCCCACCATAGTCGTGGTGGTCATGGTGGTGATCATGGTGGTGATGGTGATCATGAAACCCATGGTGGTGATCGTGAAACCCGTGGTGGTGATGGCCGAAGCCGAACCCTCCCCCGTAGCCCCATCCTCCGCCATAGCCGTAGCCGTGTCCCCATCCATATCCGTAGCCGCCGAGCAGGGCACCGGTCAATACGCCTGTTGCGAACCCATCATTGGCCGGTCTCTGGTTCACGATGACCGTTCTGTGTTGCGGCTGCTGCACCACCCTCGTTTGGCCGTATCCTGCCTGCTGGGGGAACTGCTGTGGGTACTGCTGCGGGTACTGTTGATATTGCCCCTGGGGTGGTGCATGGCCCTGAGGAGGTGGTGCATAGCCCTGGGGTGGGTAGGGTGAACTTTGTGGGTATGGTGGAGGCGGTTGCCCTGTTTCAGTGAGGAAAAAAATATGGTAATAATAGTGGTAAACATTTCAAAAATAATTTCATGTTGACTAAGGTAAACAATCAATATTATTGTGAACTCTCTAAAATCTGATACTGTAATAATTTTGCTTTCCAATTTCAAATACCAAGCAGGCACGCAAGGTTTCATGCACAGATTAAATACGCATGCGTAGTAGACTATCGTACTGGTTACCAGTGCGCTAGTCTACTACGCATGCTTAGTCTTTACAAAGCAATCGTGGAACTAGCCCATGTAGTGAGGTACCTTAGTGAAAAAATCGTGACACAGTGGACAAAAGCACCATTTTTTAACCAAAGCATCTCCATGGTATACCTTTTCGAAAAAAAGACGGACGCAAAAAATTGGATAATGGGAAGAGCATGTATGACGTCATTATGACGTCATCAGCTAATTATTACATGAAAAAAATATAAATTGATAATAATCTTCAGAACTACAAGCATTACAACAACAAATGTGGTATCAAATTAAAGGGGACAGCAAGCTCTTTCATTTGAGTGGTATGTCATGGGGGTGGAATATAGTTAAGGGTGATTTTATGGGTCAAAAAATCATGGATTTTGGGTAGTCACATTGACACTTTGTTTAAACATGCAAACAGTATGTGGTATTGTGAGATGTTGTTTTTAAGTTTGAGAGAAAAGTTCAAATTCTATGCCAAAAGAGTTTTTGTAATTGATTATTAGTATCATAAATATGTTTAAACTTGTTCCAAAGATAAGCGGAAAAGTGAGGCATCTTATAGCGAACTACATTAGTAACAAAAATGCTAAGGATCGTTACATGGTATTTAAAAGCACCATTTCTTTCACCAAAGCTTTGGCAATGTGTTGCGATCAAAAATAGGGTAGGATGTAAAAAATCAGATGACAGGAAGGGTACTTTATGACGTAATAATGACGTCACAATATACTACCAAGTTCGTACAGTAATTAATTGTAGAAAATAAGGTCGTGAAGCGTTGTGATGAGATTCCAAGTAATTAATTTGACATTTTGAGGGTCAGGGAATTGAAGAGTGATATAATCAGTGACATTTGAAAATAGTGACGTCACTGCAACAGCAAATCAGCTTATTGTTACTTAAAAGTAACAATAAGCTGATTTGCTGTTGCAGTGACGTCACTATTTTCAAATTTTCTTGAAAAATCTAAGCATTTTTGATTATGGACAAAAGTGCTACAATGACGGTATTTGTCACGCATAAAATAAATTGTGTGACATTGTGCGGCTCCTTGAATTTGGTCTTTACCACATCCATTTGTTTTGACCATTTACTATAGCTGGAAGACGTAACATTCTTATATGTGTTGTATATTACGGGTAATGAGGTATGGGTTAGGAGCCAGACAGAAAGGAACGTGGTAACCTGAAATAGATTAACAGAGTGGCCGGAAATGGTGATGATACGTCTTTTAACAATGTATTACAAACGGGGGCTCGATAGTCCGAAGGTCCAATAGTCCGAAGGTTCTTTAGTCCGAAGGTTCGATAGTTCAAATGCACACAATTTCCATAAGGGGGGTTCGTTAGTCCGAAAATGAAATAAGGTTCGTTAATCCGAACATTTGATGCAATAGTCCGAAGGTTCATTAATCCGAAGGTTCATCAGTCTGAAGGTTTATTTATCCGAAGGTTCGATAGTCCGAATTTAGAATAAGGTTAATCAGTCCGAAGGTTCAATAGTCCGAAACGAAAATAACAAGCCCGCGGGAACGGGGGGTGCTGTGGGTGCTGCAGCACCCCCAACTTTTTGGATTGGGGTGCTGAATTATGCTTCAGCACCCCCTACTCCCGGGCAAAAATGTGTTCCAGCCAGCAGTGTTCTACGACGTTGAAATTGCGCCGCTGCGCTATACATTATACTTGCTCTAAAAATATCTCCCTCGTTTTGTTCGTTTCTAGTTTTGCCGCGGCTTAGCGCGGCGCTAGTCGAACGTCTAGCACAAAGTAACACTGTAAAATATCAGGAGGAGGTATTTTCTAAATTTTCAGGCAGTGCAGAATCGATATTTCTCTCAATGTATCTAAAATCATGACATGTCTATGATATTTCCGCCATTATGAAAGCTTTGACCCGAAAAAAATAACCTTTTCCATGACAATGGTGGCAAAGTTGATTATGCTTGTCACGATTTTTTTCATTCGATCTTTCAATAGGGGCAAAGTTCATACCTTTCCCCTGAAGGTTTTTCTTTTCATTTAAAAAATTCATTGACGTTGCTAGCTAAACATTATGCTTACTCAACAAATATCTCCTTCGTTTTGTTCGTTTCTAGTTTTGCCGCGGCTAAGCGCGGCGCTTCGAACGTCCAGCAGCACCATAAAATATCAAGAGGAGGTATTTTCCAAATCTTCAGGCAGTGCAGAATCGATATTTCTCTCAATGTATCTAAAATCATGACATGTCTATGATATTTCCGCCATTATGGAAGCTTTGACCCGAAAAAAATAACCTTTTCCATGACAATGGTGGCAAAGTTGATTATGCTTGTCACGATTTTTTTCATTCGATCTTTCAATAGGGGCAAAGTTCATACCTTTCCCCTGAAGGTTTTTCTTTTCATTTAAACATTTCATTGACGTTGCTAGCTAGCTAGCGCTTCGAACGTCTAGCACAAAGTAACACTGTAAAATATCAGGAGGAGGTATTTTCTAAATTTTCAGGCAGTGCAGAATCGATATTTCTCTCAATGTATCTAAAATCATGACATGTCTATGATATTTCCGCCATTATGGAAGCTTTGACCCGAAACAAATAACCTTTTCCATGACAATGGTGGCAAAGTTGATTATGCTTGTCACGATTTTTTTCATTCGATCTTTCAATAGGGGCAAAGTTCATACCTTTCCCCTGAAGGTTTTTCTTTTCATTTAAACATTTCATTGACGTTGCTAGCTAGCTAGCGCTTCGAACGTCTAGCACAAAGTAACACTGTAAAATATCAGGAGGAGGTATTTTCTAAATTTTCAGGCAGTGCAGAATCGATATTTCTCTCAATGTATCTAAAATCATGACATGTCTATGATATTTCCGCCATTATGGAAGCTTTGACCCGAAAAAAATAACCTTTTCCATGACAATGGTGGCAAAGTTGATTATGCTTGTCACGATTTTTTTCATTCGATCTTTCAATAGGGGCAAAGTTCATACCTTTCCCCTGAAGGTTTTTCTTTTCATTTAAAAATTTCATTGACGTTGCTAGCTAGCTAGCGCTTCGAACGTCTAGCACAAAGTAACACTGTAAAATATCAGGAGGAGGTATTTTCTAAATTTTCAGGCAGTGCAGAATCGATATTTCTCTCAATGTATCTAAAATCATGACATGTCTATGATATTTCCGCCATTATGGAAGCTTTGACCCGAAAAAAAAATAACCTTTTCCATGACAATGGTGGCAAAGTTGATTATGCTTGTCACGATTTTTTTCATTCGATCTTTCAATAGGGGCAAAGTTCATACCTTTCCCCTGAAGGTTTTTCTTTTCATTTAAAAAATGCATTGACGTTGCTAGCTAGCTAGCGCCTCGAACGTCTAGCACAAAGTAACACTGTAAAATATCAGGGGGAGGTATTTTCTAAATTTTCAGGCAGTGCAGAATCGATATTTCTCTCAATTTATCTAAAATCATGACATGTCTATGATATTTCGGCCATTATGGAAGCTTTGACCCGAAAAAATAACCTTTTCCATGACAATGGTGGCAAAGTTGATTATGCTTGCCACGATTTTTTTCTTTCAATAGGGGCAAAGTTCATACCTTTCCCCTGAATGTTTTTCTTTTCATTTAAAAGTTTCATTGACGTTGCTAGCATTCTGTACTCAACATTAACAAATATCAAGGTTCACACACATCCCAACCTAATAGGAGTGGGACGGGCTTCCATTGAAACTAGTTCCAGTGTAGTTTCGTTTTAATAAAAAAGCTATTCATGTGTTACCCTTTGCAAGTTTTTCCTCATAAAAACTCAGTAGACCGATAAATCCTTGCCTAGCCGCAAACTTGCCACCTACCGATCATAAACATAAAGATGCATTTGGTCTGTTAGTCTTTTATATTTGCCATTCCCTGTAACAAACAAATAACACTGCAAGAGCTACATCGTTTTAGGCCTATGTGAATATTTTTATGAACAGAAATTTACCCGCTTCCAGTGGAACCATTTTGTTTTAACTTGAACCAAAAAACACCCTTTCGGGTTTTATAAGTTTAAGTATATACTTCAGTATATTTCATCACAGTGCATCCAGAATCCAACATTTTCAGGGGCCTTAAAGCAGGTCCCTGGCCCTGTGGCCTCACACCGTAAGGGCTCGGAAAATAAAACAAAACATACACGACGGAATTTAATAAATGTAAGACAGCAGCCTAGCAACAATAATATTTACGTGCGATGTCATGCATAATGATACAATTCTTTGTCCAGAATTAAATGGAACAAAGAATGGAGATAAAAAATACAGGGTTTTCGACTTTTCACTACAGTAGAAACGTCATAAGAGCAACAGTATATTCTAAACAAAAAAGTAAAATAAATTTTCTTTATAATCTCGAAAAAACCTTTGCTAAAAAAGTCATATGAAAGTGGCCAGGAATCGCCTCATATTGCACCGCAGAGCATCCATATTCCAAAGCTTTTAGGGGCCCTTTAAGCCACGCCGTAAGGGCTTTGCGCTCCGCGTTCGCATTAATTTTGTCCGTCCTTTAGAAATTCCAGCACCCCCTGGCAAAAGTTTGTTCCAGCGGGCTTGAAAATAAGGTTCAATAGTCCGAAGGTTCAAAAGTCCGAATTGACAATAAGGTTCGATAGTCCGAAAAGACTCTATGGTCCGATGGTCCGAATCGACAGTAAGGTCCGATAGTCCGAATCGACAATAAGTTCCGATAGTTCGAATCAACAGTAAGGTCCGATAGTCCGAAGAGTCATACAGACGAACCGTATTGCCCATTCGGACAATCGAACCTTATTCTCAATTCGGGCTATCGAGCCTTTTTCTCAATTCGGACTATCGAACCCTATCGTCTATTCGGACTATCGAACCTTCGGATTAATAAACCGTATTCTATTTTCGGACTAATGGGACCTTCGGACTATCGAACCTTCGGATTATCGAACCTTCGGACTATTGAACCTTCGGACTAACGAACCTTTGGACTAATGACCCTTCGGACTAGAGAACCTTCGTACTATCGGGCTGTAACCATTACAAACACAATACCAGTGCAGCAAGTCATGTCCTGCAGTTTGTAAAGGTTTTTAGTTTGGGACGTGAAAAAGACAAACAATTATCCATGATGCACAAGCACAAGTGTGTTTCTCGATTAAATGCACCATCCTTGTCGTTGACGGACCGTCTATCCTATTGAAGTATCCATCAGACATCATCTTCTGTGTGACACGAGCAGAGCATTTCTGAAGGTCCACTGTGTGAGTAGTTTATCCTTTCTTGTTATCTTCCTCAAAGCTGGATTGCGACTGAGATCGTGCAAATAAATAATCTTTAAAAAAGCTTCATCTGTAGTCTTGTTTATTAATTATTAAAGATTTTGGTAAAAATGAACAGAAGTCTTTGTAGAAATTGTAGATATAATTCATCTTGCGTAAAATATATCTTTGCAAGTTTACAAGCTTCCACAAAACGTATTATTTTGCAACATTGGAACGTATAATTGGTTTGAACATTCTACCTTTTTATTGCTTATGTGAACTGTTACTATCGTATTTCAGGACAGTCATCATGGATTGGACTGCTTGCATTATCTGCATGCAAACTACACCAGAAAAACTACGTTGTCCACAAACAGGTTTAAATTGTAACGCCGGAGAAGTATATGCTCAATTCCTGGCTAATGTTGAAGGGTTTAGGGCAATAAATGCATTGCCAGTTGATGTAGAATACGGAGCCGAAGGGACAGTAGAAACTTTTGTGGAAAATAATGCCTCGTGGCATCATTCCTGAGGTAATCATTTATGCGATAATCATGACGTAAGACATTGCATTTTAACGAATCATTGATCACAACAGGGGATAGGAGCGAGGGTCAAATGTACATGTACATTGTTTAATTTAATACATTAAATTAGGAAACATTCCTCATTTTATCAAACTATTTGTATTTAAATCTTTTAAAGCTAGTCTAAGAACAAAATTGGCTACCTTCCAAAGGGGGCGCTATTCAAAACGTATACCATGGCTACATTACACAATAACTACCGCGATTCGCTTTCCAAGGGACGTCACAATAAACAGCCACTCGCGAAAAAAAGAAAATTTTACTTGGAAATAAAAGCCAATGGTTATCAGTTAGTTTCATTGAAACACTTGGACGCGAGCCGATCAATGAGGCACATTGTCGTCGTTACAGCAGCCATGAAACCAAGCGAGAAGAACGAAGCACTGTAGCTCTGTGTCATGTCGTATAACGCTCCTGAATTGAAACAAATGAAAGAAATGAAATTACAGGAAAGGAACGATTGGGGTGAGTGGTAGTCTCGGTCCCAGACTGGATTGAAGTTTTACTCCCCTATTTTGCAGCCAGTCCCGTGACAAACGTGGTATTTAAGTTGCCCCTAATTGTCTATCAACAAGATGAATCGAATCCATGTCTTGGCAATATTGGCAGCACTACCCAGGAAAATTCTAAGCATACCTCGCGCGCATGCATTAGCTTCAATACAGCGCGCGTGAGGTATGCTTGGAATCTCATTGATAGCGTTGCTAATTATGGCCGAGACTGGATTTGATTCATCTTGTTGATAGCAACCGCCTTGTCACAGATCGGCTGTACAGTGTGTCTCAAAAAATGCAAACAAAATATAACGGAATGCCAGACGTCAAATGTGTTATCAACACAGATAATATAGGTATGGTTTGCAAGATAGGCCTTTCCACTTTTATAACATGAGACATCAAACGTCCAAATCTGATAATTTGTGACATAGTTATGAGCAATTTTCCTAGAGAGGTCAAATTGACCATGGGACCATTTTTAAAAGTTGTAACACTGGTGTTTGCAATAAAGTCGATCTTTTCAAGCCTCGCGGATACTAATAAGGTTCCAATGCATTGTGGTATGCAGTAAAAATTTGCAGTATCGCCTCCTTCACGAGTTATTAATTAATAAATATCACCCTTATTGCCGGCTTCAATTGGTCTATACCGAGACCCACGCGAAGTCACGCCGAGTCACGCTAATGGATATGATAATATAAGCGCTTCGTCAGCTTGGTTGCCCCAAAATCGGCCAACCTGAAATGCACGTGAGTTTGGTAGGCAAAAAATCCTCGTCGAAGTTTCCATTGAGAGAGTTCGAGGTGTAATGCAAGCGTTTGCGACAACATATTAAGCTGAAATTCGGAATATATTTAGATGATATAAGTGTTCAACTACTCGTGAAATAACAATTTGAGGGGATACCTAGAAATGGAGATAAACACATAGATTTGGGGACGTTTTCGAACGATTTCTTCCCGACTTTAAAGTCAGCTTTACCAGTAACCATTATTGACGTTTCGGCATCGATGACGGCGATTTTGTTCACTGACATGAAGTTTAGAATTTCTTCTTCCGTTATAATTTAACATTTCAATCATACTGAGCATATTCTCTGAGAAACACAGCGTTCAAAAGGCCATATGTTTTTTGGGGTGCATAAATTTCACTGCTCTGTTATAGCGTTCAAGTGCCGGTACGTAATCGGATTAACTTTGTTTCACAACGGCGACGCTTCAGTATAGGTCTTCGCAACCACATGGCTGTGTTAGTTCGACTGGCAGCTTCAGTAAGCCGTCTACGCTACGTTGGCTAGGTCCTACTTCTCAAAGACATACACGATTGCAGCGAACAAGTGAAAGAATCGACATTATAAGACATTAGTTCGCTTCCGGTTGGAATATTGTGCAAACATTTGGGACCCACGCACAAACTCTGACAAAAGTGGGAACTACAAGAGGGACGCCAGTGTAACGGACATTTTTTTAAAGAAAAATTGACTGTGGTTAGCTATGGAAGAACGCAGGACAGTTAGTAGGTTAACTTTCCCATATACTAGGCCATAAATAACATGGTAGCTTTCCAGGATGACAAATTAACCAAAACATCTAACAGGTCAACTACAGGGGCTGCACATCTGACTCTACGTTGATTCCACTAGATTCACACCAACAAGCCTTGATTGCTACAAATATTCCCTCATTCCACGAATAATACCAGAGTGGAACCTTATTCCACTCTCCACAAAGGAAGCCACTACTGCTGATACCTTCATATCAGATTTGTTAATTTTGGATGTGACCTCTTAAACTGCGCTCCACTGGATTAATATCTTGCTGCCAGCACTACGCCTGCTATATGCGTGTTTATAACCCTCCAGGGGGTGTTTACGCAGTACCGAAGCAGAAACAGTCATGAGCAGGAGAAACACGAAATCTTACCCGCCAGAAAACCGCCCAAGATCTCCCCAGCGCCGAATAAGCAGTTACCTATGATGCAAATGTCCATGACATAGCCAGATTCCTCGTAGAGTTCTTTTGAGACCGAGGGAATAATCCAATTGACGATTCCTTCTGCGGCCCCATTTACGCTGGCCAACAACATCAGAGCCTGTAGGGTATAGCACGCAACAACAAAAAGAAGAATCTAATTCATTATGCATATTTTTATTTTTATTTTTAAAAACGTTCACTATCTCGTTTAAAAGTACAATGGATGGATTTTACTTCAATAATTTCTTTTTTTTTTACCCGGGATGTGATGCGGTTGTCGCAGTATAAAGATCTGGATCCAAATTGGCAACATTCTTCTTCTCTTTTATTTAGCCTTGTTTGGATTTCTGTTTTCCTTTGCAACAAGTAAGTTTTGACAAAAGTTATCTTTCCAGGAAATGCCACCCATACTGTGGTAGTAAACTTACCAAATAATTATCTGCAGCTGCATAGTCCAGGAAAAAGGAGACAGTGTTAACGAGGTTAAGTATCACAAACATCCAGAACGCACTCATGAGCTTGCGGTCTAGGATGAATGGGTGAATAGCCCGACTGAGAAGATGTCCAATCCCCCCTATAGTCGACAGGAAGGCAGCCTCAACGCTAGGTATACCCCTCGCTATGGCGTGTGGAACCAGGAACACCATCCATGCCGCGAAAATGGCCCCCAGAAGGGGCCATACGGTTAAATGAAGCAGCACCTTGGGATGTTCAATGCAGAGATGCATTGAGAGCCATTGGACCAATGCAGAGGCGAAGGCACTAAGCTTGGAACGGATGTCTCTCGGTCTGTCATCAGATAAACTTTGGATGTCTTCTTTTTTCAGTTTCTCATAGCCTGACGACGGCAGCCGCTGCATGGCTCCAAAGGCGGTGACGTTGAAACTGGCGGCAGCCATGATTAGCATGGCGCCACGCCACCCATACGTCATCGTCAGAAGGTCGACAATTGGTGGACAGACCATCATACCAAGCGAGCCGCCCATTCCAGCGAGGCCAAACATTAGGGAGAAACGCTCAGGGAAAGCCACCAGCAGGAGCACCAGTTGTGGAATGTACGCAAGACTTAGACCAAAACCTGAAAAAAAAGAATCCCTTCTCAGCTTTTTGAAGTATATTTGCTTTGGCCTAATTTGTCAACTTCAAGGGCGGACCCAGAGAGGTAAGGGAAAAACTACCTTATCTGAGAACAATATACGGCTATATGGAGACTATTTCAGGATTAGAGGCCTACACTGTACTTTTTGAGTAAGGGAATTTAAGAGTTTTTTAACGCAAACATTTTTAAAAGTGTGTGTTAATGTTGGTAAATTTTGTTCCGGGTAACATGTATTCCTTGGCATGTGAACGAAAATGGTTTCACAATTTTCTCCTCTTTCACACCGACGGAAGGTGCCTTTGTTCACAGCAAGTGCCCCTTTTTGGTGACGCCCCCCCCCCCCCCCCATTTTGAAAACCGTTCCGCCGCCTCTGATGTTCAAGTTACCACACCGTGTATCAATTAACGTTTACAATACTCCTGACGATTGTTGAAGGCTGGAACGTTATTTTACACTATACGCTCAATGTAGAATATTTTACTTTGCAGTGTTGTCGTCCAGTACTTTTTTCCGAGTACCGAGTACTGCCGAGTACGTAGGTTACCAAGTACGAGTACGAGTACGAGTACTTCCGAGTACAAGCCCAGGTCTCCGAGTACGCGTATTTGTACTTCCGAATATGGCATTTACGGCAAATGGTTCATTGTGCGTAATGGGCCAAGGACCAGTCAGACTGATATACAGACCCAATTCACGGCTAGCTGTTGACGTGCACAGAGGAAAATCAGGAAACTTCGATTTCTCCGTACGCCAATCAAATCAATAATTTCAAATTGACAGTATCGATAAAATAAGGCCGTTATAAGTCAAGCTATACCATTTTTTTCGAGTACTGCTAGTCGAGTACGAGTACTTTGATGATCGAGTACAATTTTGACATGTCGAGGCTAGTACGAGTGCTTTGCTGCCGGTATGCCCGAGTACGAGTCCCTTCATTTCGAGTACGATTACCGTCATTTCGAGTACTAGTACTTTGCCATTCGAGTACGAGTGAAGTACTCTTTAAAAAAATGTACTCTCTTTTAAAAAATGTACTCGAGTAGTATTCAAGTACGAGTACCGAGCACAAGTATGCAACACTGTCATTTTGTGAGAGATAACACCGAGTTCCAAGTTGCTTATATCTAATAAAACATTCAGATATACACACCTACCTGTTAGTGAAAGAGTGATTGCCAACTGATAGATGTTATTAACGAACGCAGTAGCCAAGAACCCGACGAAAAGCAATCCTCCGCCGACCATCACACACAAGCGACTGTCGATTGTCCGTGCAATGTTACCAGTAAGAGGAGCTGTGGGTACATGAAATCACTTCTAGTTTATTTTGTTGAACCATATTTTACCATAATAACAGGCAGCAGTCAAATTTGATATGCCAGTTCGGCCTTCCAAGTGCATAATGTGCGCACATCATTTAGATTTTTAAATCCTATAATAACGAATAACAAGCCCGATAAACAGAATGCATGGACATCTGTGATCGAAAAGAGTCGACATATCGTATACACACACTTACCCAAGATAAGACCTAGGCTGTGGGTCATGCCTACGACGGTCCCTAACTGGGCTGTCGAGCACTGCAGTGAGTCTTGCATTGGGTTGAACAGCACGCCAAACGATTTCAGAGTTCCAAACTCCACGAAAAATATCGCAAAGGCTGTCAAAACGAGCAGCCGGCTTCCCTCCATCGCGGACACTCTCACCATCGATGTCTGCGGGAGAAACTTCGGCATTTAGTAATCTCTTACTGTGATATTGTGACATGGCGGTGCCAGCTCTCCATCCTCTGTCCGCCTGGTTCGTTTTGGTAAGCGTGCCGTTTTTACTATCGAACCGGATAGAGGGGAAGACAGTATGGCGTGTCAAACGTTGCAATATTCAATATATTGCAATATATATGTTGGATGTTCAGTATGTGTTTGTTATCTTTTACATTTATGTGCGATGTTCAATCATAAGTGTGCGATGTTTTTCATTTATTTGTGCGATGTTTAATATATTTGTGCGATGTTTTACAATATATGTGCGATGTTCAATATATGTGTGCGATGTTTTACATTTATATGCGATTTTCAATTTATATGTGCGATGTTTTTGACGATATATATGTGTGATGTTTTCAATATTATGTTCGATTTTTTGCATGAAATGTGCGATGTTTTTCGATACAATTGTGTGTGTTGTTTTACAATATATTTGCGATATTCTCAAATATGTGAGCAATGTTTCACACATATGTTTAACATTTCGAGCTATTTGTATTCGATGTTTCATCGTTATGTTTGCATTCGATCTTTTGCAATATGCATTTGATATTTCCCTTTTCATTCGATGTTTCTTTAAGAGTCAAAGTCTGGTTACTAGACCGCAAAAGTCTGACTATTTTGCCTAAAGTCAGTGTATGAGACGTCAGGGGATCGCGTAAAGTGATTAGAGCCAGACCTAAACGGTAAAAACCGGAATGGTGGGTAATTCTTTAAGCATACTGTAACGGCGGTGCCGGGCCGCCGGCAGAGGGCGCCAGCACGGACCCACGGTGCAACCGTAGCGTTGAGACCCCTGCTGCTGGGCCAGGGAGACCCGTTGCCAGCCTGCGCCGACTCAGTAGTGTGACTTTTGTATAGCGTTCCTTTTTGTTGTGAGTTGTATAAAGGGAGAGCCTCGTGTAAAGAAAGTGGCAAGAATAAATGGCCGGAGAGCCCCGAAACCCTGAAGAATAGTGTCTGTGGTTTCCTTCGTCTGGCGTGTGAGAACCCCAGATCCGTTCGACGTTACATTGGTGGCAGCCGTGGCATGTCTGACGGAGGAAAAACAGGTAGAATTTGGAGTGTTTTTCGCCATGAATACACCGGGTCGAGTTAGTCTGGCGTCCGACTCGCCACTCGGCGGGTACGCACGCTGGATCAGGGCCTAGCAGAGCGTAAACCAACCTGGTGAGATGGCCAGCAAAGCGTTCGTCACGTTGGATGACTCGGAGTTGGACTTTTTCAGTGTTTCGGGGAGCCAGCTAGGCCCACATGCTACATCCCATGGAGAATCGCGCCGCACTGTGCACCACGGTGCAACAGACGCTCTGTTCCACTCGGAACACTGCCGAGTTGCGCCTGTTGATAAAGCGGGGCTGGCCGGGCTTGATCGTCCGGAGACACCCCGTATCAACACACGTGCCAGGGCCCACGATGGGAACAGCCCCGTAACACACACACCATACAACGGACGCATGTTTTTCTCCGGAACAGCTCCGTTTCACAAACACCAATTCACCGGGTGCACGTTCCACCCGGAACTGCCCCGTAACACACACATTCATACAACGGACGCATCCCATGGGGAATCGCGTCGCGCTGTGCACCACGGCGCAACAGACGCTCCGTTCCACTCGGAACACTGCCGAGTTGTGCCTGTTGATAAAGCGGGGCTGGCCGGGCTTGATCGTCCGGAGACACCCCGCATCAACACACGTGCCAGGGCCCACGATGGGAACAGCCCCGTAACACACACACCATACAACGGACGCATGTTTTTCTCCGGAACAGCTCCGTTTTACAAACACCAATTCACCGGGTGCACGTTCCCCCTGGAACTGCCCCGTAACACACACATTCATACAACGGACGCATCCCATGGGGAATCGCGCCGCACTGTGCACCACGGCGCAACAGACGCTCTGTTCCACTCGGAACACTGCTGAGTTGCGCCTGTTGATAAAGCGGGGCTGGCCGGGCTTGATCGTCCGGAGACACCCCGCATCAACACACGTGCCAGGGCCCGTGATGGGAACAGCCACGTAACACACACATTCATACAACGGACGCATGTTTCATCCGGAACGGCTCCGTTCCACGGACACCAATACACCGGGCACGGTTTCCCTCCGAAACGGCCCCGTTCCGCGCATGTACAAGCGCCGGATGCGTGTTCCCCGGCGAAGTTGCTCCGCACGGGATTCAATGGAGCGGAGCTGGCGAAGTTGCTCCGCACGGGAATCAATGGAGCGGAGCCGGCAGAGTTGCTCCGCACGGGATTCAATGGAGCGGAGCCGGTAGAGTTGCTCCGCACGGGAATCAATGGAGCGGAGCCGGTAGAGTTGCTCCGCACGGGATTCAATGGAGCGGAGCTGGCGAAGTTGCTCCGCACGGGAATCAATGGAGCGGAGCCGGCGAAGTTGCTCCGCACGGGAATCAATGGAGCGGAGCCGGCGAAGTTGCTCCGCACGGGAATCAAAGGAGCGGAGCCGGTAGAGTTGCTCCGCACGGGATTCAATGGAGCGGAGCCGGTAGAGTTGCTCCGCACGGGAATCAATGGAGCGGAGCCGGTAGAGTTGCTCCGCACGGGATTCAATGGAGCGGAGCTGGCGAAGTTGCTCCGCACGGGAATCAATGGAGCGGAGCCGGCGAAGTTGCTCCGCACGGGATTCAATGGAGCGGAGCCGGCGAGGTTGCTCCGCACGGGAGTCTATGGAGCGGAGCCGATGGAGTTGCGCCGCACGGGAGTCAATGGAGTGGAGCCGACAGAGTGGCTCCGCACGGGAGTTAATGGAGCGGAGCCGATGGAGTTGCGCCGCACGGGAGTCAATAGAGTGGAGCCGACAGAGTGGCTCCGCACGGGAGTTAATGGAGCGGAACCGTGGAGTTGCTTCGCACGGGAGTCAATGGAGAGGAGCCGGCGCAGTTGCTCCGCACGGGACTCAATGGAGCGGAGCCGATGGAGTTGCTCCGCACAGGAGTCAACAGAGAGGAGACCCCGGGGTGGGCCCAGAGGAGAACCCAGAGGTGATCCCAGAGGTGATCCAAACGGAGAACCCAGAGGAAAACCCAGAGGTAACCCCAGAGGTGACCCCGGAGGAGACCACAGACGAGACCAGGAGACCCAAGCGGATACCCCAGCGGAGGCGCCGCCTTGTTCGGGGACGAACAAGGGTCCTCGGAGGGGGCTGTGTAACGGCGGTGCCGGGCCGCTGGCAGAGGGCGCCAGCACGGACTCACGGTGCAACCGTAGCGTTGAGACCCCTGCTGCTGGGCCAGGGAGACCCGTTGCCAGCCTGCGCCGACTCAGTAGTGTGACTTTTGTATAGCGTTCCTTTTTGTTGTGAGTTGTATAAAGGGAGAGCCTCGTGTAAAGAAAGTGGCAAGAATAAATGGCCGGAGAGCCCCGAAACCCTGAAGAATAGTGTCTGTGGTTTCCTTCGTCTGGCGTGTGAGAACCCCAGATCCGTTCGACGTTACAATACGCAATGCGTTCATCATTGTTTGGGAAGTACCCCCAGCTGTACCTGTACTACCCATAGTGTTATGTGCATCATCTATGCATTTGAGGAGTGCATGACACATGGTCTGAGCTCCAAGGCCGATGTGCACCTGTCCCGTTTAATGATCCAGTTACCTGATAATTTGTTAGCATAAGCTGATGTAAATTTGGCAAAATTAGATGTTTATGAAAAAAAATCAAATTGTAAGGGGTTAACCTTGCCTTTTTTTTATAGCAAAATCGGGAAAAATCAGATGTTTCTGGAAAATTGCAGATTGTATGGGGTTAGATGTTTATGAAACATTTCAAATTGTAAGGGGTGAACATTGCATATTTTAGCGAAATTGGGCAAAATCAGATGTTTCCGAAAAAATTCAGATGTAAGGGATAAACCTTGCTTTTTTAGTGAAATTTTGCAAAGTTAGATGTTACGAAAAATTTCATATTGAAAGGGGTTAACCTCGCATTTTTTTTAAAGCGAAAATGGGAAAAAAATCTGATGTTTCTGGAAAATTGCAGATTGCATGGGGTTAACCTTGCTTTTTGAATAAGATTGGGGAAAATTAGATGTTCATGAAAAAAATTCAAATGGTAAGGGGTTAACATTGCATTTTTTTTGCAAAATAGGACACAATCAGATGATTCTGGAAAATTGCAGATTGTTGGGCTTAACCTTGTATTTCTAGCAAAATTGGGCAAAAAGAAATGTTTATGAAAAATTTTGAATTGTAAGAGGTGTACCTTGTATATTTAGTAAAATTTGGCAAAATCAGATTTGTATGAAAAATCTAAAATGGTAAGGGGTTAACCTTGCTTTTTTAGCAAAATTTGGAGCATATTTTACTAAAATTGGGCAAAATCAGATGCTTCTAAAAAATCCAGATGTAAAGTTTCCGCAAAAACAGCTGTTGAAAAAGAGCCCAATGTTGAACTTTACTGAGGTCGATCGAGGGGACGATCCTTATTTTAACTCCCGGAGATTCGCTGACAGTCTCTATTTTTCTTTTTAAGAAAGTCAAAATAGCTGAAGAGGGAGTTGAGAATCTATATGTGCCCAGATACAAAGAGTAGAAATCTACGCGTCTGCCTTTTGAAAATACACAAAATTTTGCGGTGTTCATTGTTGCGTAATGATCCGCCTAGCACACGACTGTTTTGCACATTAGGCTGTGTTATGCGGCTTCCTAACAAACCAAACACACTGGGCTCATTATATCGACTTGTTTTTACCCATTAAGGTAAAGCAAATGGACCCAGTAATCTTCCTGGCGCGTTTGCTCACCTATAAAGACAACATTTCTCAGTTTAAGGAAAATTCTAAGTTAACGAAATGGCCGAGTGGTTACGATTCGTCGTCCACGGTTAGCGGGGTCCCGAGTTCGAATCCCGCTGGTGTCTTTTTGGTTTTTAACGAATGAGTTCAATTATTCACTATAAGAGATTTAATTTCCCGTCGTAAAC